ATCGGTAAAGCCGTTTGAAAGTTATTCCAAAAAAACGATTTTTTTTTTTTGAAAATTTTGTTTTTGAGATTTCTCAAAATCTAGCGAACCGAATCGATTCAAATTTTCACGAAATTTAATGGCTATGATACTCTTTGGATCACCACCGATTTTGATCCGATCGGCTAAGCCGTTCAAAAGTTATAAGAGGTTTACATACATACACACACACACACACACACACACACACACACACACACACACACACACACACACACACACACACACACACACACACACATACAGCCGCACGGACATCATCGCGGGAATAGTCAGGGAAGCTTCCTAGGACCTCAAAACGTCGAGATCTGATGAAAACTCGATTTTCGAAAAACGGGGTGAAAACAATAACTTCCCGATTTTTGAAAATTTTCAATTTTCTTAGCGGGAAGTTGAAAATAACCCTTGTTTTGAAAGGTGTCAAAGCTGACTACAATGAAAATGATGTTAAAACATTTATCATTAATAAAAAACTACAAGACGTGCATCTAGAAAATGTTACCAAATTACAATTTGATAAATCAGATGAAAATAAATACTTTTATTTGGTCCATCTTTCCCCCGGAAGCAGGTCTTCAGCACTAACTAAACTGAGATACATTCTCCATCAACCCGTAAGATGGGAAAATTTATGGAAAAAAGCCATTTTCCAATGCAGATGTTAACGCATCAGACATGCAAGCAGAAACTGTAACTTTAAATTCAGATGCGTCAAGTGTGGTAAAGACCACGGCCCAATTAAAGAAGGTAACAAGTGTGAACTAGAGAAAGCAGCGTTAAAAGATATTTTTTGCATCAACTGCGGCCAAAAAGGTCACCCAGTGTCATATCCAGGATGCCTATACCTAATTACAGCTCAAGATCTTAAAAGACCATTCGGCTGCCGAAATGGAAGTAGATTTCATCATGAATAGAAAAAAAATATAACGAGGATTGTATACAAAACTAGCGTTTCTAACTTCTTTGCAATCGACAAAAATATATATTGACGGAAAAATGTAAAAACCAGTGCAATAGCAAATTTCATAATTGGCATAGCGGAATAGGACATAATTTTAAGACTACACATATGATATGGTACTCAAATTAAAGCTTATTTAAAGAGCTTTCAGATGCAATTTACAGAGATTCAATAAGTTATCCCATTCCAAAGTTATTCGGGTTAAAAAGTGAAAAAATGTGAATTTTTATAATTTTGAAAATTTTTAAATCCTGGCATTTCTAAAAAAATTTGACGACTATACATATAATATGGTACTAAAATTGAAGCTTATTTAAAGAGCTTTCAAATGAATTTTACAGAATTTCAATAAGTTATACTATTCAAAAGTTATTCAAGTAAGAAAGTGAAGAAATATGAATTTTATTTGAAAATAAAAAAAATAGTGTTTTATCAAACTTCTGTCAAACTTTTAAGCTCGAAGAGCTCGAAAGCATACAAAAGCTATTTTTTTTGAGCTCGGAGAGCTCAAAATAATACATAAATTGTATTTATGAGCTCGAAGAGCTCTAAAACGTCATAAGTGCAATTTCAAGTGTTAGGTATAGAATTGGCGGGAAGTTGCAGGGATGGCCTTCAGGGTCAACCGTTTTCCAGAGTTTTTTTTCTTCTTTTGGAGTAAAAGTAAAATATTTTTTCGTTTTCGATATCTCACGAACGAATCAACCGATTTTGACCGATCCTACGGTGATTGACGTGGTTTTTCAAGGTTAAGAGCTTATTAGTTTTTGGAAGTGATTGGTGAAGCCATTTAAGAGATTTTTTGAAAAAATATTTTTTTTCAAATTTTTCGTTTTCGATATCTCACGAACGAATCAACCGATTTTGACCGGTCCAACGGCGATTGACGTGGTTTTTCAAGGTTAAGAGCTGATTAGTTTTTGGAATCGATCGGTAGAGCCGTTTAAAAGTTATTCCAAAAAAACGATTTTTCGAAAATTTTGTTTTTGAGATTTCTAAAAATCTAGTCAACCGAATCGATTCAAATTTTCACGAAATTTAATGGCTATGATACTCTTTGGATCACCACCGATTTTGATCCGATCGGCTAAGCCGTTCAAAAACTCAGCTCGACGAATATAGTCGAATATAGCAAAACTTTTTTAAAAGTTCCGTCATGAGGACCAATGCAATAGTTAGATTTCTATGAAATCTACTAAAAAAGAATCCCAATTCGTTAAGCAATCTCTAAGAAACGATAGACTGAATAAATTTAACACCTTTGTGAATCCTTAAAGATCTTATAATCAAGCAGCTAGCTATAATCCTGAAAATTTCCTTCCATTACCAAGAACCAGGTTTGAAGATAGACAATCCTATTGGAATGATACTCCTAACCATAGGCCAGTGCAAAAAGAAAACCGTGACCAGTTTACCAATCTCAACAGAGACAACCAGGACCTTGGCAATAACTTCACACAATGAGAAAGATTGCTGAACAGTTTCAAAACTAGTCTTACTGAATCTCTTAAGGAGCAGTTCGATATCATCAACAAACAAATTACCGATAATTCACGTAGAATTGATTATATACTAACCCAACTTGATTTTGAATAATGGCTCACACTACTCAACAGCAAAATATTGAACAAGAACTAACAGGGTCCAATAGCATTATAAGATTTAGTGCAATAAATGTCAACTCCTTAGAAGCTAATAAAAGAAAATTAGACATGGAAGAATTTGTTAAAAATAATCAAATTGACATAGCTTTGATCTCGGAAACAAAGCTTCATTCCGAACATAAATTAAGCTTTAATGACTACAATTTAATAAGAACTGATCGACCAAATGCCAAAAACGGAGGCGGAACTGCTATTCTGATCAATAAAAAGCTAAGTTTTACTCCAATCTCATATCCTAACTCTCTTTCCAACAAGGTGATCGAGTACACAGCTATAAGACTAAAAGTTAACTCGAAGAAATCTCTCATCATTTTCAGCATATATGCAGCTTGCAACTCCAATAGATCCCTCATCGCTGAACTGGACAAAATATACCATGATTTCAGGTTAGATAAACCTGATATATATTTCATCATGGCTGGAGACTGGAACGCCAGGCATACAAAGTGGGGAGACAGTAAGATCAACGATTATGGAGCCATGCTGAACAGGTGGGAAGTGAAGAACAGCATCACCCACAAATGTACTCTCTACAACCCTAACAGACCAACATACCCCAGCGCGGGATCCTACCTGGACCACTGCCTACCAGATACCCGAATCGAAATTAAGGAATTATCATCCAATGGATTGCTCAAAACACTGCCCTACGATAGTCACCATAATGCGATCTACTTTACTATCGACACTAACAAAACATTCATGGGACTCGCCTCATCTCCACCACCAACTATTAGATACAACTATAAAAGAACCAACTGGAGAAAATTTGCCGAAGACCTCTTGTACAATCACAAAAACCAAATCCCGTCAGACAAAAATCTAACAATTAGTGAAATAGATTCCCATATATTAAATTTAGAAAAGGAAATCACCACCACCATTATTAAAATTGTCCCTAAAGTTGAAGCCGATACTAAAAAAGGTTGCTTAAAATATGTCAATAACACAATTAAAAAATTACAAGCAATGAAATCAAAATTAATTTCAGAAAAATTTAGGGCCACCAACCAAGAAGAAAAATATAGACTCAATCAGCTGATCAAAGAGATTAACAAAAAATTAACAAAAGAATTTCAAAAATCAGAAACGGCTTATTGGACTGCCAAAACTAAAAGCATCAACTACAGGGACTCGGCAAAATTCTTCCCACGAATAAATAGGTTCTTCCGATATAGAGAACCCCCTAGAGTTGATAATTTGACCATTAGCAAAGACAGTCCTCTTCTCACCGATGAAATCATCAATGATCCTGAGACCTCAAAAATAGATGGTAAGCATCTTATCACCCATTCCACAGCTAAATTAAATATTATTGGAAAATATTTCGAATCTATAAACTCTCCAAGGTACTCAAACATCGGAACGATGACCAAGACCATAGCAGACAACGCAGCGAATGATATCAAGAGTAGAATCCAGTACAGAACACAATCTCACGCATACAACATTTAACCGTAGTAATCGTGCCTACTATCCTGTCCAAAATGAAAACGAGCCAAAGTTTCTTCATTCATATATAGAAGTTGAAATACTCCTTAAGAAGACTAAAAATAAAACCTCCAGCGGTTTGGACAACATCCCGATGATTGTCCTAAAAAATTTACCAACTACCTTCATCAACGAGTACACTGTTCTTTTTAATAATTGTCTCAACCACTCGTATTATCTACCCAGATGGAAAGTTGCAAAAGTCATTCCAATTAAAAAGAAAAATAAAGACACTTCAAACCCAGCTAGTTACAGTCCAATAAGCCTTACAGTAAATATAAGTAAAGTATTTGAAAAACTAATTAAAATTCAACTCACTACACATACAGATAATAACAAGTTAATCCCAGACAATCAATTCGGCTTTAGACCACGCCACTCAACAGTACACGCAATACACAAATTTTCATCTGATATCAATTGATATCTACTAAATGGCAAACTGGTTGGAGCTGCCCTCATCGATTTAGAAAAGGCGTTTGACTCTGTCTGGCTCAACGGACTGATATACATACTAATCATCTTGGAATTTCCTCTCATTAATAATGTTAATCTGTGACATGATACACGGGAAATCGTTCATCACTTGGGATGGAATCAATATTTCATCTCTAACATTTTTAATACTGGAAGGCACTCAACAGGGTACAGTAACATCACCAATACTGTTTATAATATACTGTCGAAATGTACTAAACCTTTTTCTCATGAACTCGGGAAATAACACGCATTACGGTGCTTACGCTGATGACACAGCTATTTATGTAGCACACACCAAAATCCCTGTGATTGAAAAGAGACTGACTAGCCTGGTGAACCAGATATACGAATATTTGGAACAATGGAACTTAAAAATGAACGCATTCAAGAGCGAGACAATACTTTTCAGGAAAACCGTCAATGAAATAACTCCTCCAACAGTGTTGCTAATCAAAACCTTCCAAATAAAAATTACCGATAAGGACACAGGACTGGAGACTATAATTCCTAATAAATAGACCGTTAAATACCTTGGAGTTAATTTTGACCACCTCTTCAGAATGAACGTCGACCACGTAATACAGTTATCAAAAGCTAAGAAAGCCTGTAGAGCTAACCACAGGATTTTCTACAACTCAAATATAGAACCAAAAGCCAAGATCATCTGCTACCAACTACTGGTCCGACTCATAATCTCATACGCAGCTCCAGTCCTGTGGAACACTGGCCCTTCGGTAATGGAACACTATAGAAGATTCGAACGATCCTGCCTGAGAGCCTGTTTAGGCAGATATCGAACTGTAGACTCTAACTTCACCAAGCGCATTGACAACAAATCCATCTACGATACAGCCAACATCTCAAGGTTCGATACTTTCTGTCTGACACTCACACGAAATTATTTCAGCAATGTATATCAAATAAATAAAGATCTACTCAACAAGCTGAAGGTAGAAAACAACACCATGGTTCTACGAATGGCCAAAAGCAACTACTCTCCGCCTGAACTTTTCACGAACCTTGATAGACTGGGTCTCATTCAGGACAGTGATAATATACCAGTTATATGCCATATCCAACGCCACTGCGCAAGAAAGGCAGTATTCACTGATACCGATATTCCTAAAGACTAATGGGCATACTCAACTGATCTTCCAGACTATGACATCAATAGCCTTGACCGGCTATCGGAAAAATATTGGTGGCTCCATGGTGACGCTAAATACATGGACGAATTGAGACGACGGGCCAGACTGATTACAATGAATTAAAATTAACTAAAATTAATAATTTCGTTAAAAATAATAATATTTATTTTATGCCGTAAGATGGACGGCGGAGATCCTAGGGTCCACCTTTACAAGCATGGAATGTAAGTGAATTCCATACATGTTTGTAAATTAATTAAAATTCATTAAAATTGATTACAATGAATTAAAATTAATAATTTCGTTAAAAATAATAATATTTATTTTATGCCGTAAGATGGACGGCGGAGATCCTAGGGTCCACCTTTACAAGCATGGAATGTGAGTGAATTCCATACATGTTTGTAAATTAATTAAAATTCATTAAAATTGATTACAATGAATTAAAATGAATTAAAATTAACTAAAATTAATAATTTCGTTAAAAATAATATTGTTTTTTTTTTTTAAGTTTATTCTTTAATTACAAAACAGTCGCAGCAACAACAGCATCGAGGTAATCTCCGAAATCGACGTAGATAAAACAAGATTGTTATTATCTATTTACTTTAAGGTAGACAGCTTTTGTACATACTCTTGAATCAATTTTAATGAATTTTTAATTAATTTACAAACATGTATGGAATTCACTTACATTCCATGCTTGTAAAGGTGGAACGCTACACAAATTGTTTGTAGCGAATAAAGCCTCCATGCATGTTTGTAAATTAATTAAAATTCATTAAAATTGATTACAATGAATTAAAATTAATAATTTCGTTAAAAATAATAATATTTATTTTATGCCGTAAGATGGACGGCGGAGATCCTAGGGTCCACCTTTACAAGCATGGAATGTGAGTGAATTCCATACATGTTTGTAAATTAATTAAAATTCATTAAAATGAATTAAAATTAACTAAAATTAATAATTTCGTTAAAAATAATATTGTTTTTTTTTTTAAGTTTATTCTTTAATTACAAAACAGTCGCAGCAACAACAGCATCGAGGTAATCTCCGAAATCGACGTAGATAAAACAAGATTGTTATTATCTATTTACTTTAAGGTAGACAGCTTTTGTACATACTCTTGTAAATAGTCCCATACACCTACCTGTCCTCTCCCTTTCCCTTCCCTTACCTCACCCTTTATTTTTACAAAATGGCATCTATGGTTTTTTTAATTTATATTTTATTTTTTTTTACCATAGTTTTATAAAAATATACGTATAATAACACAGTTATTAAGAAAAAATTATTGTAGTAAAAATAAGCATACTGTTTTATGGTAAGACGCATCTCACGATGACAAACCAAAAATTATTTTTTATAAAATTATAGTTTCAGTTGTTTAAGGACATTTGTTACTTATGTAAATTTGATTGTTATAATGGATAAATAAATGACCTTTTTAAAACCAAAAACCAAACCGCTTTAGTATTGCTGTATAATTGTAACCTTTTTTTCTTAGAGATAATATATTTCAAACAATGAATCTATCATAAATGAGAATTAAAATTACTTTTATAAATATAATTATCAACTATTTTTCTATTATTACACAGGTAAGATATGTCAAAACTTCGATTTTGATCGCACCCGAAAGTTGAATGGTTATACAATCAAAGCTGCAACAACTTACAAGGAAAAAATTTACATAAGTCAAGACAAAGCTAATTTCTATGGTTCTATCGAATTGAAAGACTCTGTAAACATAAAATTATTGACTGCAATTGCAAAAGCACTGGATGTATTGATAGAATTATACCCTTTACCAGAATCCAACCACGGCGAAAGTAATGAAACAGTTCTCGGAAATTGGTTCTTAAACAAACAAGTTGACATGCTTGCTAGTGAAGTAGTTTTGACAATAAATTCCGAAGTAAAGTCTACGATAACTGAATTGTCGTATCCTTTGAAATACTTATCGGACGTTATAGTCACGCATAATCGTGGGTTGGAAACCCCGCTTGAAAAAATGTACGATTATTATGGGTATTTGATTATATCGTCTACAATAATAATTTCTTTAGTAACTTTCGCTTGGATCTACTTCTTAAAAGGCATGAAGAAGGAAGAAAACAATAAACTATCATTCGCAATTTTTGAATGCTTGCGTTTGATGGTAAACACTTCACTTAATACGCACATGCACAAACCGGCAATAAGAGTCTTTTTTTCGGTAGTCTTTCTGTACTTTTTGATCATTCAAGCGACGTTTTCTGGGCATCTAGCCACATTTCTAACGAAACCCGTATATCGCAAAAACGTTGAGGATCTTGCAGATTTACTCGATCCGCGTTATTCAAAAATTTATGCTCGCAATGCAATGAAAGAATATATTACCGATCGTCTACTGCTGGAGAAAATGGTTTTTAGCGATGAAAATTGCCAAAATTTTATTGGAAACAGCACTTCAAATGCTTGCATCGAGATAGATTTGAATATGGTCAATGCGATTCACTCATACGACTTACATGTTGCTAAACATCCACTACTTAATCGACACGCTGGATTTCTGTATCGTTGCGGGTGGTCGCTATCTTCGCAAATCAACAATAAAATAATGTCGTTGGTACAATCTGGAATTTTGTATAAATGGTATGAAATATTCTTGCATCCCATCAATAAAAATTTACAAATGAGAAACGAAGAGTTGACAACGGAAAATCATTATCGCCCTTTGGTTTACGATGATTTGAAGTTCGTCTTCATACTGTTGAGCATTGGATTATTCTGTGCATTTGTTTGCTTTGTTGTTGAAATCGTCCTTCACAAATTGAAAGTTAGTTGTGAAATTGAGAAAAAACGAAATCAAAAAACTAAGATTCGTTCAATTTTGATACCTACTGGTTATATTGTATTTAAATCACGAAAAATCATTCACTATTTGCACAAATAAATTTTCACAACGCAAGTATAGTTATTCCATATTTGAGTGGTTTGTTTGTGTATAATTATGTATTTTTAAGCATTGAAACTTATTTAGCTTTTTAAATGTTTCTTAGATTCTTGACACTTTAAATTGCAACTAAGGCAATACAATTAATTAAAATAATAATATTTATATAATGCCGTAAGATGGACGGTGGAGTTCTTAAGGTCCACATTTACAAGCATGGAATGTGAGTGTATTCCATACATGATTGTAAATTAATTAATCTGAGTTAATCTATGTTAGTCTGGGTTAGTCTAGGTTAAGGTTAATAATCTAGGTTAAGGTTAATTACAATTAATTAAAATAATAATATTTAAATCATAGGTTATTCACTCTATCTATGAAAAAAAAAAAATTCTAAATAAAATATTTTACTTTGTGAAAATCGAATTGATGATTTATATATTTCGTATTTTTACTTAAAAAGTTTACCTTTTACTGAAAAGTCATATTTTTTACTAATATTTTTTTTTCAAATCTGAAAAAGTCTTTTTAACTCCAAAACTCTTGCGAAAAATCCGAAATTTATAGAAATATTTGACTTTTTCAGGTTTTCGAAGAGTTATGAAGACTTCAAAACTCTTTCGTTTACTTATTTAAGATTACGTTGACTTTCAGAAAGTCTTATGAAGAGTTTTGAAGAGTTTTAAAGACTTTTTTCAGAGCAATATTTCCAAAAGAGATCTACTGCCGCAATTTGAATCTAAGTTTTAACCAACTTTTAATCTATAAAAAAGTTATTGTTAAGTTGGAAGATTTTTTAATAAAAAATTACTGTAACTTTAACTGTAAAATTTATAGAAAAATTAATGTTACTTCAAGTTAAATTTATTTGGACCTTCAAGTTGATTAGAAAACCATGATTTAAAAAAGTTTTTTGCAAGTTAATTGTCAATCACTTCTTATAAAAAATTATTATTATGTTATAATTTTTAACTTCCCGCTAAAAATCTCAGATTTTCAAAAATCGGAAAGTTATTGTTCTCACCCCTTGTTTTACACCCATTGTTTTACAAAAATCGAGTTTTCATCAAATCTCGACGTTTGAAGGTCACAGGAAGCTTTCCTGACTATTTTTACGATGATGTCCGTACGTCTGCATGTATGTGTGTGTGTGTGTGTGTTTTTTTTTTTTCCCTTTAGGGAGGGGGGAATCCTTTGGGGGGGGAATCCTTTTTGCGGATTCCAGGCAGAGCTGCTTGGCCTGGATATGTGGTGACTCGACGCAGCGTCATACTAAAACTCGACGCTGACGCCCCTACCCATTAAACCCTAAACCCCTTTCTTTTCTATCCTCTGATCCCCCATGGTACCGCCGTAATGCATTTCTTCGCGGGGGGAGGAATTAGCTGCCGCTCTTCTTTCTGGTGGCTAAGATGTTTTCTTCCTTTTAGGTTCTGTCTTTTGCTCTTTTTCTCTCGATGGCACGCAGCTCTGTTAGCACTTCTGTGGCAAAAGTGTTTGTTGCATTCCAGGCAGCTTCTGAAGACATCATTGCTTCTACGATTGACTCTGGTTGGATTGTCTTCTTCAGGATCTTCTCCAAATCCTCGCGTTGTTGATTGAAACGCGAGCACTCGAAGAAAACGTGCTCTGCATCTTCAGTGGCTTCGGGGCAGGACGAGCATTCTGGAGAGTCGTCATGCCTAAAGCGGTGGAGATAAGCCTGAAAGAAGCCATGTCTAGACAACATCTGTGTTAGGTACTAGTTGACCTCACCGTGATTCCGGTTCAGCCAAATGTCGATCTTTGGTATGAGACGATGCGTCCATCTACCCTTCTCTGCGGCATCCCACTGAGATTGCCATCGTGCGATGCTGTGCTGTCTTTGTTCCGTTCTGAGTTCTTCTGCGCTCAGTGTTGTTGACCTCTTTCGTTGGTAAAGGATCCGTCTTTCTTCAGCTAGGACTCTGAGAGGTAGAGTTCCAGAAATGACGCACACTGCTTCCTCAGATATTGTGCGGAAGGCGCAAGCTACTCTTAGGGCACTCAGACGATATACTGGTCCAGCATTTCTCCATGATTCTTGCTTTTCTAGTGCGTCCGCCCAGATAGATATTCCGTAAGTGAGCACTGATGTGACTACAGATGATAGTAGTAGTCTTCTGCTTTGCTTTGGGCCTCCGACGTTTGGCATCAGCCGTGCTAAGCTAGCTACCACTGCTGATGCTTTTGCAGTCACGTGTTCGACTTGCTGCTTAAAGTTGAGTCGGGCATCAAGCATCACTCCCAGATATCGGATATATGGTTGTGATGTGATTTCTTGTTCTCCGACTTACAGTTTTATGGTCTCTATCACTTTTCTGCTGGTAATAAGCACAGCCTCAGTCTTCTGTTTAGCCAGTTGTAGATTCATTGAATCCATCCACCGGTTAACTTTCTCAAAGGTGATACTGAACATGTGGTTTATCTCATCTAGGTGTTTCGCAACGATTACGACAGCTACATCGTTTGCGTATGCAACAAGCTTGACACTTCTTGGTAGAGTCAGTCTCAGCAGGCCATCATACATGACATTCCACAGAAGTGGACCCAGAACAGAACCCTGGGGTACGCCTCCGGTAATATCGTACTCTTTTGGACCATTCTTCGTGTCGTATCTCAGGATTCTGTCCGTGAAGTAGCTAGCCACTATCCTACGCAGGTATCCTGGTACGTTTTTCTCTTCCAAGGCTTGCATAATGCAGTCCCAGTTGGCGGAGTTGAAGGCATTTTTGATGTCCAGAGTGGCCACCAGGCAGTACTTCTTCGCTCCACCCTTCCATCTGATCCCTTCGATTGCCTCCTTGGCCGTTGCAACAACCAGGTTGATTGCGTCCAGGGTTGATCGTCCTTTCCGAAAACCATACTGGTTGTCTGCCAGGAGTGGATCGACAACTGCTTCTATTCTTTGGTGGATTATACACTCAAGTATCTTACCTGCCGTGTCTAACATACAAAGTGGTCGATAAGATGACGGTTCTTCTGGTGGCTTTTTTCCTTTTGGAAGTAGTACTAGTCGTTGCTGCTTCCACTTCCGAGGGAAAATCCCTTCCTTGAGGCATGTGTCGTAGACGTCCAGGAACAATGATGGCACTGCTTTTATAGTTGTTTTTAAGGCAATATTGGGGATCCCGTCCAATCCCGGCGATTTATTGTTCCCTACACGATTACAAGCCTCCATCAGTTCTTCCTCCGTGACAAATGGAATGTCATCCATTTCATTCTGCGCTACTAGGTAGTTAAACTCGCTTTGTCCGGGGAACAACGCGTTTACGATCTTCTGTAGGAGTTGAAGATACGTGGGTGATGGCATTAGCTGGTTTTTAAGATGGGTCATAACCACCTTATACGGCCGACCCCACAGATCTCTGTCCACCTCGTTGATGAGCTCCTTCCAGCATTTTCTTTTGCTATCTTTGATGGCTTTGTTCAGGGATCGACGGGCTTTTTTGTACTCTGCAACCAGTTCTACAGAGTTAGTTCGTCGGTAGCCACGCTGAGATATTCTTCTCTTTTGATGACACTCTTTACGAAGGGCGCTGATGTAGTCGTTCCACCAGTGAACGGAAGGTCTTGCGTTCATGCCACGTCTGCGAGACATACTGGCGTCGCACGCCTGGGTCACTTTTTTCATCAGGTCCTTGGTCTTCTCTTCTGCGCAGCCCGCGATAATTTGGTCACTATTGAGAGCTACTAACAATGCACTTGGGTCAAGAGTTTTTAACTTCCAGCCAATGGTGTTAAGTTGCTCTTTAGGTCTTCTCGGGCTCTGGGCGTTTAATATTTTTCAGAGAATCGCGTTGTGGTCGCTGGCTGTGTAGGTATCCATCACCTTCCAGTTAATATTACCTCTGGTGAGGCTGCCACTGACGAAAGTGAGATCTACAATAGAACTTGCATCTCCCTTGGTGTAGGTTGGTGTATCACCACTGTTGAGCAGTACTACATCTAATGTAGAAAAGGCTTCTAGTAATTCCTTTCCTCGCGCGTTTGTATGCTTGCTTCCCCAGTCTACTACCCAGGCGTTGAAGTCCCCAGCTATTGCCACTGGGTGGTAATGCTTCGCGTCCTCGGTAAGTCGATCCAGAAATGCGGTGAATTCGACAGTAGAGAGGCTAGGTGGTGCGTAACAGCTATAGAAGCGAATGCCCTCTACTGATACTAATACAAAGCCGGCATTGCTGTTGTCGACCGCATTTTGGAAAGAGAGCTTGCCACATGACCAGATGACAGCTTTGGATGTGCTGTTAGATTCCCAGGGTTGGGTACTCAGGTGTTTATATGGCTCTGCTATCAGTACCAAGTCAAGCTCTAGTTCTCGCACGGATTGCATGAGCAGGTCATGCGCTGCCTCACAATGGTTGAGATTGAGCTGCAGTATCCTCATGCTTGTTTGTTCGTCAACTTCTGGAGTGCATTCTGAAATACCGGGCACTTATGGTGTGATGTGTAAGTATATGTAAAAAATATTAATAATCCTATATACTCCTACATTAATAATCCTAATTGATGGTAGAATGAAGTTAGCTTAGTATCGAAAACATGGACCCTGATTCCTTATTAGTTGAGATTTAGATTGAAGTTACCTTAGTATCGAAGTAACGTTCAGAATTAGAGCGTGTGCGTATGCGCGCAATTTAAATTCCTAGTAGATATACAAAATTAGTTTCTGGAGTTTTTGTGTGTACGGATTATACAGACATTTTTTTTACTGCTTGACAGGGAAATCATTTTTTATATTTTGATGTTGTTTTCGTTTCTTGTACATAAAATTAGTCTTCAAAAGTAACATAATTATTCTTTATTAAAAGTCTCTATCTGATGATGTGCAACTTCACATCATGAGTCGTGCATTAAATACAAATTAATTGAAAGCGCAGAGAAAATTTCGATTGTATTCAAATTAAATTCGACTCTATTTTATAAAAATATACTTTTCAATCATTGTAGAACCTCGATAACTTAAAAATCTCTATATCTTGAAGAAATTGTGTACCCTTCCTTTCAGAGCTTAAAATCTCGATTACTTAAAATACAACACCCCGATAACTTGAACCATTTATTAGTGACTAATTATAAGTACGTAACTAATCAAGAGGTCGTTTCATTTATCGTTGTGTGAATCGATGCAAAAAATTAAATTATGAAAATGAAATACGTTGACGTACACGGAAAAAAATTTCTGGGAAAATTTACGTTACAACTATTGTAAAGCTGGACTATACTTTTATTACTATTAATTTTCAAATATTTTATAAGGAAATTTACTATTTATTCATGAAATTTTACAATTTACGATTAGAGAAAATACGATATTACTATTGTAAAAAGTAAGAATTAAAATTTCCAGTGTTGCCTCTGTATCTGTCCAATAGAATTATAACAAATTTTACAATAGTTGAATTGGAATGTTTCTCAATTAGTGTGAGCGATGTCCGTGCACAGCGCTAGACTTCAAGTTTATGTAAATGTTAAAGGACACAGGTACTAGTTTACCTCGGATAGTGTAGAGGGAGAGTCTCTGGCTGCCAACAAAGAGTTCTGGGTTCGATTCCCGGATAAGACGGAAATTCCGATTTCTTTTTTTCGGTTACTGTATAGGTATCAATTAACCTAACCTCCTATCTCTCTCCCTCCCTAAAATGTATTTTAAAAAAACCGACTGTGAATTTTTACAATAGTTGAATTGTAAAGTTCACAAACATATAATTGTATAATTTGCTCTATAATATTCGACTTTTTAAGTCTCTTGCTAGTGTTGTTTGTTGGATAAAATTTACAATAGTAGATTGTAAAAATTACAAAATAAGAAGTATAGTCCATCGCTACTATTTTATTTAATAAAAATTACGATAGTGAAATAGTAAAAATTCCTTCAATTTTTTTTCCGTGTATGCTGATAAATTAACGGCGATCGAAGCAGTAAAGAGGTTTGCGAAAAGGAAGAGTAAAAACTTCGACGACTCAAATTTTAAAACGTTTCCCGCAAACTTCATTCCCTCGAACTTCAGTCATCCAAAAAATACAGAGTAAAACAAAATAATAACACACAACATATGAAATATTTTTCTTATTAAATATAAATTCTTATTTATATATTGACTCAGAAGAAATAAATCGATAATTTACATTCATCTAAATCGTTATTACACATTTTTCATAATAAATATAATTATAAATTCAAATAATCTAATAATGATACAATAGAATTTCTGTTCTATGAGCATGCCTACAAAATTTAACTTCTTAATTTATAGACTCTGAACTCATGAAAGTAACAAATATTTATAAAAATATAAACTTACGCATAATATATTATGTATGCAAATTGCTAGTACTATATTCACAAACTAAGGTTGCTTGTGAATAAATACATTAAACTCGTATCGTGATATTTTAAATGATTGTGAAGATAAATTAATTAATTTTCTATTGAAAACATATTAACAGAGAGGAAACTAGTAAAATTATTGTTGTGGCTGACATGGAGAATATTGAATCAGCATCTGCAAAATAAATTTTGATTATTAATATTTAGTTATTGACGTTAATAATTCCTGATTGCTAATAACTTTAAACTTGATTAAGGGTTGGGATTTCCTTAATCAAGACTGAATAACTTGATAGTTGAAAGAAAAATAAAAAAAAAGGAGTTTGAACAAATTCTTTTAATGAAAAAAATTTTTTAGGTTAGGAAATTTCATTTCTTCATTATTCTTAGAAAAAATTCCAACAAAATGAATGTCTCAAAAAAATCTAGCGAAACTAATTTATCCTTCAAAATTAAAAAAAAATGCTTAACAATAATTAAGATATAAAATATTTAGATGTAAGTTCATTGATTAATTAGATAAACTAAGTAAACATACCTGAACTCAGAGCACATTGATTTAACGTTTGATCGAAGTAGAATCCATTTTCACAAGTACATTGATTATCTTTGCAGGTTGAATGATGGAATGAAGCGAGACACTGCATGTTATCCTTACACGATCCATTTATGTTCTTAACAACTGTAATCGAGACAATAATATAAATTGGAAGTTACGTAACTTTTTTTTAGATTGATTCAGTAAAGTAGAATGGCAACAACATAGTTGTCAGATTTTCTGGTAACTCAGACATTAATACAATATTTAGTATAAAATTATTGTGTATGTTTTTTTTTTTTTTTTTTTTATTCTAAATCAGTAAAAATATAAAAAACTTTCTTCAAGCGAATTGAAAAAGAATTAAGAAGTTGAGTAATGGAATAATTTTTGCTATGTACGTGTAATTTTTAGTAAAGTATTTAATAATATTCTTCTATTACTGTAAAGCCCTGATTAAAAAAAAGTATTGAACCTATGCAACTGTATATCTATATTATATGTATATATAGATATACAGTGTGTGAAAAGTATTGAAAAAGTATTGAATTACATACTTTTTCAATACTTTTTTTTAATCAGGGAGGTGTCATTTATTTTAAATAATTGAATAATCCATGATTAAAAAAAAGTATTAGTTTTCTAGTCAATCCAATACTTTTCAATACTTTTTTCTTTGTCTCAATACTTTTTTTTTATTCCGAGATAAATTGAAGTAGTTAAACAAAGATCAGTTGTAATTTTACGAGAATAAGAATTAAAAAATTAATTTGAAGTCCTTAGTTAAAAGTTAAATGAAAATTTACAAAAACACCATTTATTGGTTCAATCCGTCAGAAAAAATATTGATTCAGCAAATTAAACTGATTAAACAAAATTTATAATATTACTAATTAAAAAACTCTGTAATTTTTTTAATCTTTTCAGACGCAAAATTATGAGCAATTTTTCTTTCATTTGTTTTTTTTTTCAATTTTGTTAATGATGTTGTTATTTATTTATCAAATAAAGATTATCTCAATATTATTAACATCTCAATTATGATTGAGGTTTTTTGAATTCTTGAAAAAATTCTTAGAGAAAACGAATTATTTTACTCGTTTCTAATTTATAAGAAAAATTGAAATTTTCTCTTACCAAAGACAATTTTCAACCAAGATATTAATTATCATATAACTGTCTTAAGGAATCATTCTGGTTTGTAATTTTTGAAAGAATTATTATTTTATTTTTTTACATTTTTCGAAAGTACATAACTCTACAAGTATTGTGTTAAAATTTCTAAGTGATCAGACCACTGTAAATATATTATTTTACGAGGTTTATGTGAATTTCCGAGTGAAAGGAAATCGAATTTTCAAACAGGCTGAAGGGATTTTGTATGGTGCTGGCATAGCTGATTGTCTTAGTAAGATTTTCTTTATTTTTTTTTTTTTTTTTTAATTAAAAAATCTTTAAATGCGTTTATCTCAGAACTATGCTTTTCTGGTTGACGTCTATGACATCTCCGAAACGACTGACCGGTCTTAATAAAATTTAAACCACATATTCTACATAGTAGTAGCTATGGCACGAACTACAACCAAATCAAAGTTTTGATTTTTACTATTTTTTTAGGACTAAAAATTGGGAAAAAGGCTCATTTTTAAGTTGTTTTGTCTTAATCTCAGCAATTTTATTTTTTATCAATAAATATTAATCTTTGTAGTTCCTGCCATAACTACTTATATATTGAAGGTATATAATTTTGGTTTTTATGTTTTAGATGAGCCGTTATCAAGTTATCATGTACATTAGCGACATACCAACTTTTGGAGGAACTCCGTTCATCCGCTGTTTATTCATATAAAAAATATAAAAAAAAATAAAGTTAGATATTTTTTGTATTATTCAAGAGTGTATATGTTGAGCTGAATAAAGTTTATATCAATATCTATGATAGTTACTGAGTAAAAAAATAATGAATATTTGCTTTTTTTCGAGTGCCAGAACCAAAATGACCCCTTAAATAAAACTTGAAAATTTTTGGTCAATTTTGGAAAAAATATAATGATTAAATTCTTAAGCCAAGAAATGAATTAACAAAAATATATTACTAGCAAAAAAATTAACTCGATGAAAGACATGATGCTGATAGTGATTATTTTCTTGAAATTACCTATTAAACATTTATGCTTTCCAGTGTCCTCGGTAAATCCCGAATTGCAGTAACATTGATGTGTCTTGTTGCAATGACTATTCTCAAAACCACAATCGGCATCGTCTTTGCATTTACGCCCAATAACGCCTATAAGTATTCATAATAAATTAGCACATGACTCAAAGTGATTATGGTAATAGTTTATAATTAAATAATCGGAATAATTAAATTTTAAAAACATATTTTAAATATGTTTTCTTCCTATAATAAAAGAAAAAGAAGCTAAACGTTTATTAAAATATTGTAAATCAAATCAACAGAAAAATTTATTTCAATTTGCACCTAAAATATGTTATTTAAAATTTTCTAACATAAGAATTAAATGAATATATAATATTACCAAAGTTCTTAGTAGTTATATTAATAGCATTATCCAATGTACAAAGGAACGGAACTGTATCCGAATTTTCAGATTTACGGCAATAACACTTTCCACTCGAACATAGAGAATCCTTAAATTGTGCATTGCACTGCTCATTATTGGTACATACCATAGTTAAATTCTCTGTAAATTCCAAAAATTAGTTAGCTTATAAAAAATTTAATTACAATTTTATTCATAATTTAGATTGAAAATTTATAGACAAAAATAAAATTTTTTTATTTTAATTACTCAATAACAAAATGAAATTCAGAAACTCAGATTTAATTACCAGTGGCGGTAAATAACGATCAGCAACTAATTATTTATTCTTACATTTTGCAATCAAAATTTCACATTAATAATTTATTAAAATTTTCTTAAATAAAAATTAATAATTATAATTTAATGAAACTTCATTACTTAAGATTTAAGTATAATAATATTTATTGAGTTAATAAGATTGGAATTTTTTTGATTCTCTGGAAAAGATAATGAAAAATAAATCTAATAAATGCAGTATGAAATTTAAGCGTACAGCAATGTAAGAACAATTTACAAACGCAGGAATTTCAACGTTGATGTTTGCTATACAGTATGTTGAACAATGTAAACGACGAGGATTTTGATTTTCATTGTATCATATTTTGGGCAACATTTTCTTTTATTGAGAAAAACAATTTGAAACTATTCAAAATGTTTTAAGTAGATTACTATATAGATATACTCTATTCATGGGGTGAATCGGTTTAAATTGTTTTTCATATCAAGAGTTTTTGCTGACGCGTTATGCTGTTATTGATCGAATTATGTAATAACTTAAATATTTATCTGTTTTATTATTCATTGATTGCTCTCTGTTATTGTTACTATAAGTCATCGCATTATTATTGATAACTAGCAATATCTAAATTAATTAATCTGTAATGAATTTAAGAATTTATTTTTCTAGATTTGAAATAAAAGTTCATCGTTAAAAAAAATTATTATGAAAATAAGAAATTGGTGTATTTCATACGAAAAATTCTAATAAAGCTTTATCTAAAAATTAAAAATAAAGAATTTTTACATGTAATTTTAAATCAAATAATTGACTTAAAATACAAGGTCTTCAAATATTGTCTAAAATTATTAACAGTGTTATCACAAAATTTTCAATTCAATATCAAATTGCCAACTAAAGTAGTTTGAAAAAATAAAAATTTTTTATTGTAAAATTTAATGTTTACAATGATAAAAAATATAATAAAAGAATAAATCAATTAATCATCATATTCGTTAACAACAAGAAATATCTAGTTACATAAAATAAGTAAATTCTTCGAAAAAAAAAAAAAAAAAAAAAAAAAAAAAAAAAGAGGAAGTTTGTCGAGAAAATTCTTTTGTAATGATTAAATACCCATAATCCTATTATTATCACCACCCACAGAAAATCTAAGGATTATAAAGATGAAAATCTAAAAATTAAGAATAAAAAAAAAATTCTTAAATAATTAGTTTCAATAACTTGCTAATAATGTTATTAGAATTATCAAATTTTTTTGCAATTTTATAACCAATATTCTTAATTTTTTACCAGTTATTTCACGATTATAGCAATGGTAGTATAAACTAATAAAAATAACTAAAGTATTGTTTCATGAAAAATTTTCCGGGTAGATTTGAAAATTGTAAAATAATAATGATGAAATTAAAACTTACGCAGACTTGGCCCAAAAATTGTAAGTTTATAGTCATCCTGCAGTTCTTCTCCAGTAACCAAACTCACCAAGACGGACAAGAAACAAAAAATAGTTAAACTCTTCATTGCGTATAACTAAACCAATAATTTGTAATATTGATAATATTAATAATATTAATAATATTAATAAATTCAAAAGCACTCGTTCACAGTGAAAATATATTTGATAATGGATCGATTTTAAGCGTCTTGTGCGTGCAAAAGATGAGCGAAGAGTGAAGAATATGTTAAACGCAGCTGATGTAATGGTATATTCTGTAAACAACAACTATAGTGTAAAATTCTTTCCTCCTCCACTATTTTCTCTATTAATCTTTATACAGCGTAGTTTTCATTACTTTTCTATTCTATTTTCTAACATTCTCTTCCTACTATTTTCTGATTTAAAAATATATAGCGACTCATCTAATGTATAGTGTATTCTCTGCTGTGTGTATATCTACAATTATTTAAATGCAAGACCCATCGTAGTCAAAATAAAAGAAACTCTACTGCATGAAGCTACATGGAAAACAGCAGGTAAAACTCAGCTCAAATATTAATGTAAGATTATTTGTCTTTTTCTATCAAAGTTTAAAATTAATTTATTCGCGTAGATTACTAAACTTGACAGTCAACTTTATTCAATTTAATAAATTTTATTGAATTTATTACAGGATATTATTTTGAATTTTTGATGTAAAAAATCATTATTCAATAACAATTTTTAGTAGATTTCATAGAAATCTATTGCATTGGTCCTCATGACGGAACTTTTAAAAAATTTTGCCATGTTTCAACTCAGCTCGTCAAGCGGATTCAGAAAATGGATATGGGTTGATAAACTGGTGCTAACTTTATTTTTTTCTAATAATTAATATTTAATATTTTAAACTGACAGTAATTTTTCAAAATTTTTTAATTAATTAGAATTTAATAAAAATTTATATGATAGTTATTCTTATTACAGATAATTAAATGTATTTAAAAATAATTGAGGGTGTCAATATTTAGATCACTGTCAATAATTGGGGCTTTTACCTTATATGAATAATTCGATAGATATGTAAGAAATTATCAGCAAATATTGTATTCAACAACACAATTTTGGCAATATTAACAAATTCATAACTTAAATACAAGCTCGATTCCCTAGCTCAAATTTTCAAGGCTTCTTAGGAACATAATAAAGCAACTTTCCTGAAAGTTTGAAGGAAATCGAAGTTCGGAGAAAAAAGTTCTAACCATCTGAAAACTGAAATTTTTTTAACCCCTGACAAGCACACTGGGTAAAAAATACCCACCCCAAAGTTTTATTTCGTTAAAATTATTTGTGTATATTTAAACTTCGATAGTATTTTTATCTATTTTAATTGAGACTAATTAATTTAATATTATATCTATTTTTAGAGAATTTTTTGAGCTTTGATTTAAAAAAAAAAATTTTCTAACTTTATTAGGGACCAAGATATTTGAAAATGAAATATGTTGGGTATAATGAGATCCACTGATCCTATAATAAATATAGGAGAGGTAGAATGATGCGAACGGTCATTCGGAAACATTTGATCTTGAGCAGATCTTGAGCAAGTCTTGCACAAGTATATTCAGCATGCTTCTGGTGTCAATCTTTCTCAAGAATTGATTTAGTTAGTTTATCGATAAGCATCTTCAGATTTTCTCAATTTTCTTACACAATTCTTGAGCTATAATCTGGCCCAAAGTTCTTGTACAACCCAGTAAACACGTTTACGTCAATGTGACGTCAAAATGACATTGGGCTATATCAGGATTTACGTAAGATATAAGTCACGAATGAGTCATATGTGACTCATTATTTCACACTTCCTGACGTAAGATTCTGACGTAAGAATATGACGTAGTCATGACGTCAGTATTATGTCTTCATGACATTTATGACGTCAATATGATGTACCTGTGATGTCTACATCATGATAATGATGTCATTATGACGTAAAAGTGATGTAAGTGATGTAAAAATTGTACCTCAGAAAAAATATTTTAAAAAAAATTTCTCAAAAATAAAAAAAATTGCAATGTCGAAATCAATTATAGTATTGTGGACTTATTACAAACTTTGAAACACTAGATACATGTAAATATTTTATGAAAAAATCTTGAGGTATGCTGGGCTCGAACTCGGGTCCTCACGTGTCGAAGTCTGGAACGCTGCTCACTTGTCCAAGTAACGGTTCATGTCACGTAATAACTAACTTATGTGTTAACCCTTACATGACGAAAAATGCTTATTTCATAATTTTTTCTGAGATTAAATAGATTTTAAGAGCTGGAATTGTATACAATTCGATTCTAATTATTTATACAATTTCATAAAATTGCATTAAGACTCATGAAATTTTATAAAGATCTATAAAACTTTGTAAAAACTATTATTAAAGGCTCGCTAGTGAAACTTGCGGTAATGAATATGCAATTTATAAATTTTTATAGAAATTGATTTAATCTTACATTTTCAAAAATTTTCGTGTAAAAGCGGACACAGAGAACTTTACATGGTTGAGCGAAATTTTTTCAGAGTAAACGATATATCCGTGTCACTTGAATATTTTTTAATACTTATTCGATTTCGAAAAACTCGAATTTTTTTTTTTTTATTCAATTTTTTCCATAAATTTAGTATTTTTCATTTGGATTTTTCTTCTTCAAAATTTCAATTTTTAACTTCCCGCTGAGAAAATCGAAGATTTTCGAAAATCGGGAAGTTATTGTTTTCACCCCGTTTTACGAAAATCGAGTTTTCATCGAATCTCGACGTTTCGAGGTTCTAGGAAGCTTCCCTAACTATTCCCGCGATGGTGTCTGTATGTGTGTATGTGTGTGTGTGTGTGTGTGTGTGTGTGTGTGTGTGTGTGTGTGTGTGTGTGTGCGTGTTTGTGTGTGTGTATGTATGTGTATGTAAACCTCATAACTTTTGAACGGCTTGACCGATTTGATCGCGGTTGGTGCCATTCGAAAGGGCTTGACCAAACTTAAATTTTGTATATACTTTGGAACGATTCAGACCGGTAGATTTTGAGAAATCGCATAAAAACTACAAAAAAAAATTTTTTCAAAAGTGGTTTTTTTGTAATAACTTTTAAACGGCTTTACCGATCAATTCCAAAAACTAATCAGCTCTTAACATCAAAAAACTACGCCGATCGCCACCAGTCCGGTCAAAATCGGTTGATTCGTTCGTGAGTTACCACGAGCGAGGCCTCGAGTCGTTGTCAATTCCTTGGCAACGCAGGTAAGCTCAAAGATTTGCGGACTAGATTAGACAGAAACACGAACGAGACTTTTGAAGGGGGAATGGCTCATACAGGTCTTACGGCTACACCTCCCCGCATGGGCCCTGCTAGTAACTGGTCGAGTTGTCATTATATTACCGATCAGGCCAACGTAGTCGTTGAATGGGGTTGAAACAGTTGACTGAGTACGAGGACAGTTTGACATTAAATTCAACTCAATTCACATCTGTCCAATGACAGCGTAAAAGCTTGAGGACAGGGTTTTTCCTTGCCCGGAGAATTGACGGTGCTTTTGTTTGGTGAGATTGGGGCACTTATTTTACGTGCGTGTATAGCTTCTTTAAGCCCAGGAAACGGCCTGTTTGAAAGGAGGCAGACGAAAGTCTCACCAAATATTCTCTCGTTCGTAAGTTATCGTTGACGTAAGAAAACCGAAAAAAGTGTTTTTTCGGAATTCCCCCGAAGTTTTCCACTCTGTCAGTAAAAACTTGAAAATTTTTCATGAAGCTTAAAAAACTGCGTCAAATACCACCAACCACGTGAAAATCGGTTCATTCATTCCAAAGTTTTACGATTTGAAAATTTAAAAAATAGTGTTTTATCAAACTTCTATCGAACTTTTAAGCTCGAAGAGCTCAAAAGCATACAACATCTATTTTTTTGAGCTCGGAGAGCTCAAAATAATATACAAATTGTACTTATGAGCTCGAAGAGCTCTAAAACGTCATAAGTGCAATTTCAAGTGTTTTGGTATAGATTTGGCGGGAAGTTGCAGGGATGGCCTTCAGGGTCAACCGTTTTCCTAATTTTTTGTTTTTAATTTCAACTCTTCTACACTGTAAAAAATTTTTTGGACTCGGTGTGGTGTAAATAATTCGGTGTAAAAATTTTTAACACGAACGGTGTGAAAATCGCACTAAGTGTAATGTTAAATTTGAACGGTGTGAATTCTAAATTTTACACCATCAAACGTGTAAATGTATTTCCTGAAAATTTCTCATTAATTAATATAATTCGATTGTTTAGTTTTAGGTTTGTACGATGTTAGATTATAAATATAAACACGTAGAAATAAATATTTAAAACTATATTTTTTTTTGATATTATGCTATTTTACGGAGTAAAGTAAAAGTTTTATGGTTAAATTTGGTGTCATTGGAAAAGTTTTGACCTGGAGTTGTGCTTTTTCATGGTTTTATATCATTCTCACCAATAGTCAATTTATGATGATAAGTATTTAGGCTGCATTCGAAAATGCTCTGTTTCTAAATACATAATTAAGAAATGACCTTGTACCTTGTGAACTATTGACATTTTTAAAGATATAAGCTCATCCCTATGTAACCCTCATCAAGACTTTTCATTTGAGTACCCACATCAATTTTTCATATATTTATATATATTATATATTATTATATACATGTATATATGAAAAATATATCAAAAATGAATGTGGGTACTCAAATGAAAGCTCTCGATCAGTCTAACTTCAGGTCGAGCTTATATCTTTAAAATACATATTATATATAT